CAACACAGTTCTGTGACTTGTGGGGCAGAGGGATCTGGAAAAGGGGATAAGGGAAAAAGGGTAGAGAGATGGGCCCCAAAACAAAACAGCGGCAACAATCTGAGGAGAAACAAACTAATTTACTAAATAAGATATTGGAATGCAAGATAACACTATAATACAATATAATATAATTAGAATTGGGGCTAACAAATCAAATATAATGAGAGAGAGTGTCTGAAATGTGGAAAGGCCTCACCATAACGCTGAGGTGAGATGCGCAGTCAGGTCAAGCAGCAGGGAGGAGAGAGAAAGATGGAAAAAGGGAAAAGAGGAAGTCAGGTGACATATCAAGGCCTTCTATCTGTTCCCCGTGAGCTGAAATGATAACAGAACAGCAAATAGTCTTCAGGGGAATGTAGTAGTTTTCTTCCGGGACAGGTATCCAGACCTGGAGCATTAACTCTTTCACTCCCAGTGCACTACATGATGCTATGATGTGGAATACCAATAACCAAAAATCATAAAACCGTGACGTTCTGTCACCCCAGGTCTGTGAGAAACTGTGCTGTGAAGAGTCCAGGCATCACATCTCCACAGTGATGGACATTCTGAAGGGCTGAAACATACTCAAGTTCAGGACTGCAAAGCAGACTACTATCTGTGCATAGAATTACTGAATGAGTTAAAAGCTAAACCAAGTGCTAAATTCAAGCTCTTGCTCTTAGCAGTGTGCTATTTACTGTTGTTTCTTTTTTAAACAACAACAACAAAGCTTCTCTTTGGATTGACTTATTCTATTATAAAAGTAATTTCATTTGTTTTTTAAAAAACAAATAGCCATTGTTATGAATGTTTTGACTTTACTTTTGTGTAAGCAAGTGCTACTTGTCTAACTTGAAAATGTATCATTTCTTCAAATTATTGTTTCATATTTGCATATCACTTTTGTACACCCTTGCATGGTATGAGGGATTTTTCCTTTTTCTAAAATTAAAATCTTATAACCTAAATATATAAATGGATGGAAATGCATACCTAGGGAAGAAAAAAAAAAATCAAACAACTCACAAAGTCAACCTACACAGCTTCAGGAAAGTAAAGCCGAAGTTTGATGAAAGTAAAGCAGAGTAGCGTGAGCGAGGATCATTGGCAAATGACGGCAAGGAGGCCCTCACTGCATTGTACTGCTGCCCCCTTACGACAAAGGACACGAAGACCATGAGGAGGCTCATCAGAGGCCTAAAAACAAGTGAGGTTTAACTGTAGGAGTTTTGGCAGGGTTCCTTTGCCTTTATGTATGTCACTGGACTCGACCTGGTTGCTTTTGTACTCTGAGGCACAGAATCACAGAATCATTAAGGTTGGAAAAGGTCACTTAAGATCATCTAGTCCAACCTCAAACCGTCCCTACCAAGCCCCAAAACCATGTCCCTCAGTACCACATCTACACAGTTCTTGAACACCTCCAGGGATGTTGACTCCATCACCTCCCTGGGCAGCCTGCGCCACTGCCGCAACACTCTTTCTGAGAAAAAAATTTTCATAATATTCAGCCTGAACCTTAAGGCCATTCTCCACTGTCCTATCACTGTTACATGGGAGAAGAGGCTGACCCTCACCTCACCACAGCCTCCTTTCAGATAACTGCAGATAGCAATAAGGTCTCCCCAGAACATCCTCTTCTCTGGGCTAAACAATCCCAGTTCCCTCAGCCGCTCCTCATAAGACTTGTGCTCCAGACCCCTCACCAGCTTTGTTGCCTTTCTCTGGACACGCTCCAGGGCCTCAATGTCTTTCTTGTAGTGAGGGGCCCAAAACTGAACACAGTACTCAAAGTGGTGGCCTCAACAGAGCTAAGTACAGAGACGATCACCTCCCTGCTCCTGCTGGCTGTACCATTTCTGATACAAGCCAGGGTGCCATTAGCCATCTAGGCACACTGCGGGCTCATGGTCAGCTGGCTGTTGACTAACACAGCACGATCCTTTCTTTCATGCAGCTTTCCAGCCACTCTGCCCCAAGCCTATAGTATTTCCTGGGGTTCTTGTAGTCCAAGTGTAAGACCCAGTACTTGGTCTTGTTGAACCTCATCCCAGTGGCCTCAGACCAGCTATCCAGCCTGTCCAGATGCCACTGTAGAGCATTTCTACCCTCAGGCAGATCAATACTTCCTCCCAGCTTAGTGTTGCCTGCAACCTTACTGAGGGTGCACTCAATCCCCTTGTTTGGAAACATGTTATTATCCCCACCCTCTGAACATACAAAGTGGTGGGAGCCTGTCCTGTGTTGAAAGTAGGGGGAGGCACAAAGAAAGGCAAAATCACAGAATCACAGAATCTCAGGATTTGGAAGGGATCTCAAAAGATCACTGAGTCCAAACATCCTGCTAGAGCAGGTCTCCTACAATAAGTTGTACAGGTAGGTGTCCAGATGAGTCCTGAATATCTCCATGGAGGGAGGCTCCACAACAACCACTGATTCAAGGGATGGAATATCTCTCCTTCAAGGAGAGGCCAAAAGAGTAGGGGCTGTTTAGCCTGGAGAAGAGAAGGTTCTGAGGCAACATGATAGTGGCCTTTGAACCTCTATAGGGGAGTGAGATGAAAGAAGAGAACAGATTCTTTATCAATGTCTGTGGTAATAGAACAAGGGGAAATGGCTTCAAGTGTAAAGAAGGTAGACTTAGGTTGGATATAAGGAAAAAATCTTTTACTGTGTGGGTGGTGAGGCACTGGAAGAGTTATGTGGGCACACCTGATCTGGCCATGGTGCCATCAGACTGTCAGTATTGAACTGAAAAAATAATTTGAAAGGATGCTGTTAACAGATTAAGATGTCTCAAATATTATGGGGGATTTCAATTAAACACAGCATCATTCTGAAAAAGGTGCTACTGTGGGCTGTCAGGACATTTGAAGGACTCATCTGAAAGCAAGAAATTGTGAGACATTGGAAAACTTTTCAGACAAAAGGGAAAGAAACAAACCTTGGGTTGTTGGTTAAAGTAAACTGTTAGGAGCTTCCTGTTATCAGGTTGGTGCTGAGATACTGAAGATGAAGATGATATTCTTTGATTTGTATTCTTCTTTCCCAGATATGAAAACCTATCCCCTTAATCAACATTTTCTGTATTTTCTGTTGTCACAGTTCTAATTTAACCTTCAGCCTCATATACCTGAAATTTAACTTGATGAGTTGCTCCATTGCTTAAATGACTGGAAGTCACTTAGAATTAAAGTGCTTTTGTGCTGTAAATTGTGAGATAGCTTCTCATTACTGCTACTATTATTGTGCAGTAGTCACAAAATCTGGATGTTCATAATTGCTTCTGATGGCAAGTACAGTGATCACTCCAGCTGTTCCAATACTATAGCATGTTAAATTGATTTTGTAGTGAGCTTACATAAACATGCATGCATGGAAAACAACACTATAAATTTAAAATGCTATGATCTACACAAAATTTGTTAAGCTGCATGAGGCCTTTTGGGAAAACAAAAACAAAAACAAACCACCTTCTGGAACAGGAGAATTCCCAAAGTAGGATCTTGTGATTCTATGATTCTATGATCTATTGCTACAATTTTCAAGTCAGATAAAACTGAGTTAATATGAGGGCAGCATAAATACTTGAATCTGCTGAAGTCAATAGAAATTTGTCACCATTGACTCCAGTGGGGCAGGAATATGCTCCATGTTTCCTAAAGTGAGAGGTTTGGGGAAGAAAAATGACCTCTCGCTCAGAGTTCCCTCATCTTGACGGCCGAGACCACTGCTGCGTGCAAGATCCTGGATGAATCTCTCCTTCTGTATGCTCATATTTCACACCATTTAATTTGGAAAACACACACACATATATGATTATGTATATATATCCATATACATATATATGTATTTGAGCATATATATCTGAAATATATTCATGTGTCATTATGTAAACAGGCTGCTCCGAAAGTAATACCTCCTACTTTATGATGTTGGCCCACAATGTTTGAGGTAGATGTTGGCGGTACGGCAGTAGAGGTTGAAACTTCCCACCAGCATTCTGTTATATTTTGTTTCTCTGTGACAGATGGCAGCAGAGGGGCAGTCTGACAGAATGGCAATTTTCACAGAAACTTGCTGACTGTGTATGGAGACTAAATAGTGTATGTGAGCACAGCTATGCACTGGGCGATTCAATCCAGTAGCGGTAACAGAAGGTTACCTCTTCTGGTGAAGATTTTCCTGAGTGTGGTGTGCAAGCTTTTGCTTAACACTGACGAAAATCCGTAGCTAATGGCGTTTGGTCTGTTTAAAAACAGCATTTTGTAGTTGAGAATTTGTTCTATCATATTGTGTTCTTTGTGTTGTAGTTTCCATGCAAATAAATAGGAGGCATTACTTTCAGAGCAACTTACATGTATATACCGAACTGTATGTATACGATATATGGAGTATTTGTAATATATGGTGCACATACATGTATGTAACGGCATTAGAATGGATAATAATATCTTTGGGATATTCTGAATTCCTTTGAAGAAGCAAACTAATAGCATTCTTGTGTTTTTATGACATCACTGTATCTAAGCAGGAAAATGAATTCTAGAGAGGAGCGAAGAAAATCTGCACACAAGTGTTCAAGAGCAGCTACCTAAGCATCCCAAGCCTTGGCCTCAAACAGGCAATACACTCACAGAGAGCAGAATTAACTCAATGCAGCTTTCATTTGTTTTGCTTTTCTCCAAATGGAGCATTTCGTTACGCCCAGCGAAGCGCCCTCGGCACGCTCACTCTGTGTGCGTCCACCTTCAGAACTCAGCGGGATCCCCACCGTTCCCAGCCGCACGAGATCTCGGCGAGAAAGGCTTTTCTTAACCTCAGCGATGGAACAAGGCTATCCTGCGCCTCTCAGCTCTGCTGCTGAGGGCCGGGTTCCGCGCAGGTGAGGGCGGCCGCGGAGCGGCGGGGCGGAGTCGGGGCGGGGCGGGGCGGAGTGGCTGCGGCCGCACCGCCCCGCGCCGCAGGAAGCACCGCCCGTGCGCCTTCCTCCTTCTCTTCCTCCTCCGCCTCCGCCTGCCTCCCGCGGTGGCGGCGCGGCCATGCAGCAGTACTTTTCCCTGGACGACTGCGAGGTGATGGGCTTCGATCTGGATCACACGCTGTGCCGTTACCACCTCCCGCAGAGCGCGACGGTGAGTGCGGGCACGGCGCGGCCGCAGAGCTAGGGTTGCCCGCTTCGCTCCGGCCGCCCGAGCGGAAGTGCGAGTGAGGGCGTGCGGGGCCGGCGGGGGTCTCGGGTTCGAGGGGTGTCCCGCGGGGAGACGGGAAACGTGAGAGGAGGGGAGAAGCGGGAGCCTCTCTCTTTGCCCGCCCCCTCGGCAGGCCTCAGCCCGACCGGGGGGCACTGCCGTGTCTTTGCCTTGGAAACGGCGCCTCCGAAGTGTTCTCCTGCCTGGAGTGGTGCTGAGAAAGGCAGAGTCCCCCAGAGCCGGAGCAGGCGGTTCGAAGTGCATAGCGCTTTCTGTAGGGGATCGTGGCAAACTTTGTCGTGCTTAGGACGGTGAGCATGAGGGCATTCAGCATCTCTGCCTCAGCACTGCTGTCTGTCAGAGCCTGATGGCATGCGCTGCACCTTCTGCCTCAGCACTTCTTTTCTGCTTGGCCCCTTTCAGTCTCGGGTGTTCCATCTGCAGGGCTCCCTTCTGTTGAGGTCAGAATGCTGCACAGCTGTCTCATGCCCCATGGATGTTCTTAAGTGTGATACAGAAATAACTTTTTATAGAAACAAGTGTAACAAAGGTGCAATGCACCTTGTTCTGTGAAACTGCATTGCTTTCTAAGATGGTGTTTGATATCCTGCAGAGAGGCGTTTTTCTTACGGAAAAAGACTTCTCAAATTTTGTTCACTCTTCTCACAAGGCAGCGGCTGGTTGTCACATGCCCTTTGCGCATATCCTTACTGGTGACCAATAACGCACTTTAAAGTGCTGGCATGAGCACCAGAAGATACAGTTGTTACTGTTTGTCATTCTCAGTATTCAAAGTCATTCCAAGAGCAGCTTTGGGAGAACAGTTTTAATGAAAGAACCATGAGAAAAAGGGACCTGGCATTATCTGCTTAGATTTACTTGCGCAACCTCACTAATGCATTACAGTAAGAACTGGCTGAATGTTGTGCTAGGCTTTAGCACTTATTCTTTCTGGCCTTATGAATCTTTTACTTGTTAGTTGCTGTTTTCTTCAGAATATGTTTTATCAGGAATGTTTAAAATGTTCTGCGTCCAGGTCTGGTGCCCCCAGTACAAAAAAGACAAGGAGCTGTTGGAGAGGGTCCAGAGGAGGGCCACAAAGATGGTCAGAGGGCTGGAGCACCTCCCCTATGAAGATGGGCTGAGAAAGCTGGGCTTGTTCAGCCTGGAAAAAAGAAAGCTGTGGGGTACCTCATTGCAGCTTTCCAGTACCTAAAGGAGCCTATAAACAGGAGGGCAGTCAACTCTTTACAAGGGTAGATAATGGCAGGACGCAGGGAAATGGTTTTAATTTGAGGGAAGGAAGACTTAGGTTGGATATCATGAGGAAGTTTTTTACAGAGAGAGTGGTGAGGTGCTGGAACAGGCTGCCCGGAGAGGCTGTGGATGCCCCATCCCTGGAGGTGTTCAAGGCCAGGTTAGATGGGGCCTTGGGCAGCGTGGTCTAGTACTGGATGTGAAGGTTGGTGACTTTGCCTGTGGCATGGGGGTTGGAGCCTGATGATCTTTGAGGTCCCTTCCAACCCTGGCCATTCTGTGATTCAATTATTCTGTGTTTACTAGCTGCAGTTGTTGATAGGCTCAGGTGCTACTTGTTGAATCAGGGTAACCTGACATTAAAAAAAAAAAAAAAAAGACTTGGAAGGGGAAAGTAGTGACTGGCTTTGGGTGCTTAGCATCTTTGTTTCCCAGTAGTCTTGAAGATCTAGGGCAGTAAGGTAGAACAGTATACATCTGGCTGTGTTACAAAAGTTGCCCCAGAACTATTGCATGAGCATCTTGAGCTGTTTTCCAGCCTACTAGAAGTAACTCAGGCACTGCTGGTAAAATGCTGTGGAGCAGGTCCCCCATGCTCCTTGTTTGCCTCTTCTTTGGTGGTACTAAAGTTCACGTCTTCCCAGGGAAAGCATTATCTTTAGATACCTTAATCAATGTAGTTAATACCATTTTAATTTTTTGTTTTATTTTATTTTCCCATCTATAGCTAATATATGATAGTTTTGCTCAGTATCTGGTAACGGAGAAGGGTTACGACAAAGACTTGCTGACTCTAAATCCAGAAAGCTTAGACTTCTGGTAAGTATGTTGAAAATAACATAAACTTTCTTCATAACTTCCTTTATACTATTTGTAGTATACTTTTACGAAGCTTGGAAAACAGCTTCTTAGACATTTGTTAAGACTATCAGACCAAATAGGTAACTTCAATTTTTTTCCAACAAGTATTTAAAACCATAAGTATTTCTCTTGAAATACTTCTAATGTGATGTTTTGAAGAGACAACTGAATATTCAAGCTTGCTTTGTGCTTTCTATGAACTCCCCAAAAACTTTGTGGTTTAACTTGCTGAGATACACCTCCTTTTTCTTCTACCCTTAACTGGTAAATACAGTAACCATCAGAATTTAGTCATATCTCCATGTTTCTCTTTACAGATGTGTTTTTGTTTGTGTAAGGGAGAATAATCCTAACAGTCTTCTCAGGAACTGAGGAAAGGTGACATGCCAAGAAGTAGCCCTTGAGTGATGCTTTAGGCACAAAGCTGTAATGTAAGAAACTAAAACACAAGTTTCTGGTCTGAATTCAGTGGTATCTGAGGTGGAACTTTAATGTGAATCACTGATGTTCCAACTTTTATAGGTTATAATCCATGGCAAGAGTGTGGGGACTTGAAGGTCAGGTTATTGCTGTTTGTTTTGGCTTTGTTTTTCCTTAGGAGAAGCACAGGTGTTTTGTTTTCAAGTTGTTTTTACAATTCAGTATTTGACTGGTGAGTTTCCAAACGTGTCTGATTGCAAATCTCATGTGATAACCAGGGTTTCTGTATTTTTCATATTTTGAGGACTCTGAGGCATGAAATCTAGTTAACATTTAGATGTATCTACCTTGGTTCCATCTTGAAGCTGGAGGCTCCTTAATGAGGATCTGTAAGCCCATAGTGCTGGTAGCATCACATTGATGCTAATCACCCAGGTGTCGAGTGTGAAAGGATAGTCTGCTAGCTGGGTTCATAGCACATTGTCTTTCCTTTGGGTACCATACAACACAGAATGAAGAAAGCATTACTTTTGCATTTTCTTTCATCTTTTCCAATATTATTCTGGAAATTGAACTCTGATCTCATTTTTCAAACAGCCTAAGTAAATGTGAGTTCATTTTTCTGAAAGTTGTGAATTTGCTAGGTGAGTTAGGAACTACGGTGGCACATCTGTCCTACTCAGTGTACCCTTCACCTTGTGAGTGCAGACTAGCCTGACAATGCCTCTCTTCACATGCTCTTTAGATACTCTGTTGTCTCGCAGGGAATGATGTTCTATCTCTCTCTTCCTTAATATTGGTGTTACTGTTGCAGTAGTAAGTAGGGGAGGTACAGTCAAAATGTGTATTTAATTTTCTTTAATAGTGGCTTGAACATCACATTTCTTAGTTGTATATGTTCAGGCTTTAATCCCCCAACCCTATCTATATGAATAATCACACTGAACTCACAGAACAATGGAACTGGATTTATTTAGTAGGAATTTGCTGTGTAAGTGAAATCCAGTCCTCACTGTAATGATATGTATTTGCATACGTTACTTTCAAACATGGGAGTGCTTGAGGGGTTGTGATTTGTTGCTTTTAAGTGGCATTGTTATATAGCTTCTGTAACTGCATTTCACTATTCTGATACAAAGAGGCATTCTTCTGAAAACATTTTTCTTGTTTCTTCCTTAAAAAACAAACAAACAACAACAAATTATTTTTAGTTGTAAAGGCTTGGCATTGGACTTTGAAGATGGAAACTTCCTGAAGCTCGCGGAAGACGGAACAGTTTTGAGGTAATACTGATTACGTGTGTTTATTGTTAAACAAACGTGAACATTTTATCCTCTTTTTGAAAGTCACCTCAGTTTTATTAAACATCTAAAATACTGGTTTCAATATATATTCATTTATGTAAAAATTTAAATACTCTTGGGTAAACTAGTGTTCAGTATTTCTTAATGTTATAAACCTAGTATTTTCATAATATTTCCATATTAGCTGCTAGGAAGAATATATAATTTTGTATAAACATCTAAGATTGAGTGCATACTGATCTTGAAACTAAATTCACTTTTTTCAGTGGCTACCAATGTACTCTGTCCAATTCTGCTAAGATCCAGGGTAAGGTTTTTCTTTGAATTCTGAGTAACTTGAGTCAATCAGTGCTAATGACTAATGTTAATGACAGAGCAATTGTCTTTGTACCATACATATTCAAAATTCTTGCAGACTTGCTACATGTAGCTTAAGTAGCCTGAGGTAAATTAAGCATAGAAACTGACACATTCACTTGGGGAAGTCTTTTTTTCCTCTTAAAAATGAATTTTCCCTTGAGTCATAATTTTAGTACATCTTTACTTCATCTTTCCTTCTTTTTTTTTTTTTTTTTTTTTCTTAAAAAACAAAACAAACAAAAAAAAACCATGAAGATGCTAGGGGAAATCAGATTTCATTGAATTCTTGGAAGGTGTCCCCATCCATGGCAGGGCAGGTAGGAACTAAGTGATCTCTAAAGGTCCCTTCCAACACAAATTGTTCTATGATTCTATCAAATAAGGAATGAAATATCTGTGAGTCTTTCTTATGCGTATAGAAATTCAGTTAGTACCATGAATTTCAAAGAGCTAGGTTTGGAATTCAAGACAAGAGGATATATTAATGTAAAGGGAAGAGTGTTACAGTATTAGTTATCCTGGCATTTCCTGTTTCCTTCAAAACTGGTTTGTATATGTTCTTTAGGAGCACAGTTTGATGGTCAAGTTAGTGGACTTTTAATTCCTGAAAAGGCTTGTACCTATTTCTGTATTACATAGCTGCTTTGAGGGCTCAAACTAGAATTTTATCACAGTCCTGCCCTGCATTTTGTGAATGTTACCAGGCTTCAGAATGGTGTATAGGCTTCCTGCTCTGTGTTTTATTGTGCAGTGTATATTGAAAGTTCAAGTATAATGTCCTCATACAATTGAGAACATTCGAGCAACACAGAGTGATTGTGTTAGGAGGTGAGGCACAGTATCCATGCCCTCAGCCAACCAGACCTTTGTGAACTAAAACTTATACTGGGGACTGTAGTGCATAAGTTAAAAGCTTAGGTCCTAGCAAACTTCAAATTGGGAGCTCAAGTGAAGATAAACTTGCATGCACTTTGGTATTCAATTGCAGTTCATTACTGTTTTCTAGATGTAGTCTGAATGTTTTTAACCTTTTGTTTTTCTCTCTATAATGCATCAAACAGGGCAAGCCATGGCACTAGGAGTATGACATCTGAAGAGATCCTGGAGATTTATGGAAGGAAGGAATGGAAGCATTTTAGTACAGTCAGTGGAATGCTTTCCCGCTCAGGTAGCTCTACCTCAGAATGTCCTGGTCTATGAAACTGCTTTGGCCCCTTCAGTGTTTATTGTAGTGTTAGTTCATCCTAAATCTGTTTGAAAAAAATACTTGAGATGAGAATTACTGAAATATTTGAGTGTTTGGGGCAAAGGTTGTTTTTATATTTTTAACCTCTAATACTTAAAATTAAATCACCAATTATAAGGCAAGTAATGAACAAGCTAACAGTACAGGTGTGTTTTGGTTGTAGACATGGGCACATTGTTTCTTGTTGAAGTAGTGAAGTTCATAATCTCAATCTCATTTAAGAATAATTAAAAAAAAAAAAAATCAAGTTTGTCTTAATTGTTGGCATGTTGCTGTCAGTGTTCTTACTGGAGGCCTAGCTGGAAGTGCAATTAACGGAGCAGGTATGGAAACACAACTGCTCATCTTGTGGTGGCAGCTGTTTAATTTTAAGATGGAAGTCATGTTGTGAAGGCACTGTGATTAGGTTTCCACTTTTACTAGCCACCTTGTACTTTATCTCAAATTTTCTTTAAGATTAGTAATTGTGAGTGATGCACATAAAGGGAAAAATGCTCGCTGATAGTTGCATTGTCCTGTGTGATAGAGATGTTCTTTGCCATTTTGCTGTCAAACTCTTGTCATCCTTACACCAAACTGCAGGTAATCTTTTGCAGCTGGGTAGAAAAGTACCTCAGCTATATGTACAAAAGAAATGTTTTGCATTCATTATTTAGTTCTTTCATGAATATTAGTCCTTGTTTTGTTGACTTATGTGGTATACGTAAGAGACAGCACAGACAAGATCATTAATACAATGAAAGCATCACCTATTTTACTCTATTTACTTTAAATTTACTTTAATCTAAATTTACTTTAAAATCAGTTTTACTCCCAGAAAAGAATTGCTGAACATGACCTTAGTCTGGGAGAAATGTTTGCGCCCTTCTGACTTTTTTGTTCTGTTTTGGGGCATCATAGAATAATGTGAGCATGCTTCTCACTGGGCTAAGTTTCTGTCTTTAGCATGTGTTTTCAAAGGACAGGACTATAGGAAATCCATCCCAGCCTCTGTATTAGATGATTCAAGCCAAATACCCAAGCACCGCCCAAGGGTGAAATGAATCCAGAGAGGATCCTGCCTTCTTGCCCAGAAGTTAGACATTCAAGAATTTCCTTGCAAATTTTTTTGTTTTGGACAATGAAGAAAAGACAAAATCCAAAGTTAAACAGGTTATGAGACACTTGTACAGTGTGCCACTTATAAACAACTATAACATCAGAATAGGAAGGACATTTTAGATAAGTTCTACAGCTAGAAATGCAATTTCGTTGAAATCTGGGGATGCTGGAAAACATCACTGAGAAATGCTGAAACATTGCTTTTATTTTCCCATTTTGTTTCAACGATGCTTGAATAATCCTATTTGGTAAATAAAATGCATCTGTCCACTTCGTTTTGGTTCATTCAATTTTGACTTGTATTTTATAAGATGCTGCTTTCAAAGTCACTTGACATTTCTTACGCTGTCTTTCACTTTATGACAAATTGTATTGTTGTGGCATTTTCAAAATAAAACCACTCTGTTATCACTGAAGTGAAGCAATTTAACAGTCTCATAACAGACTAGGTCAGTGTTATTGAAATACTTTGTGAGATCAGCAAGGGGAATATAGTGCAATTCTCAGTAGTGCAGAGGAGAAGGGTAAAAAAAAAAAAACAAAAACAAAACAAAAAAAAATCTGCCAAATGGTTTCAATTCCCATTAATACCCTAAATTCAGACGTTATTTAAGGAGGGCTGTAGTCAGTAAGAATTGATCTCTCTTGTGCCCACATGTTTGATGAGTTAATGGTTGAACTTGATGATCTTAGTGATCTTTTCCAGCCTTAGTAATTCTATGATTCTATGTAAGACCTGTCAAATTTTCTGAAACAACTTCTCAGACTCACAGTATTTCTTATTGCTGGGGAAACTGATATTTTGGAATAGCTGAGCAACACTGCTTTGGCTTTTAAGACTCATTCATTTTCATCTCTTCCACCATAACTTTTAGAATCCTAAAATGTTTCCTAAAAATCTTACTGCTTTGGTGTAAGGTAACTGTTGCCAATGGCCAATTATGAGAATAAATAGAAATAAAACCTAACAAATGTATTAAGTTGGGAAACAAATAATGCTTATTATCATAAAATTCAAGTAACAGCTCGTAATACTATTTAAATATATTATTTATTTGTAAACTATACAATACATATTTAAAAACTAGAGGTGTTGTTTGTGTTTTTTTTCCAGCCAAATACTATCTGTATGATAATTATTTTGATCTACCAGGAGCCCTCCTGTGTGCAAGGGTTGTGGACAGTTTAGATCAGGTAAGAACTGGACTTTCTGAAATTAAATGTTCCATTATCTTTATCCTTTTTTGCCTCACTTGCTGTATGCATTCAATAATGCATGCAAGTAATACATTCAGTGAAGTTAAGCTCTTTAGCTCTTCTTTCTTGTTTGAAATTTTTCATGCCAGACTTATCAGTGTATTAAAGCTGTCCCCCAAACTACTTGTGACTTACTTGGTATGGTCAGAGTAAATGTACTTCCACCAGAGGGCACAAATAGCTAGGATAAGAACAAATGAGTTATTTACTCAAGTTTATTCTGTGATATGGAAAATATTCTTCTTAAAAATCTTTAATTGTACTTGATGGTACTTGAATTAAATCTGAAGAATAGTATGGTTTGCTAGTTTGCAAGAAATGTTAAATGGTTGAAAGCTTAATTCCAGCCTTTCTTCTTAAATGTGTTTTATGTCTTAAGTGTGATAATCTGTATGCATAGATGTAAATAAATCTATGGTATACTGTGATTTTCCAGTTGTTTTTTTTTTCCTTTAAGCAATAAATTACATTTAAAGGTGGAAAATGAAATTGGTCCAACTTTTTTCAGTGCTTCTTAGATATACAGTGTAGCTTAGATCCTATCTTTGATGTTTGTTATCATTTGATTCAGTTGAGTCAAAGAAGAGTTGAAACTTTAAGGTAGCTAAAAAAAAAAAAAAAGAGCTTTTCTCTTTGAGTAAAATATCTGAGTGTCAATGAGGTATGGATATAATCTACTGTCTGAAAGTACTAAAGTAATGCAGCGCTTTGTCTGCAGACTAGAATTGAGAATTGTAAGGTGGGTATCTGCAGTCCCTTGGAGTATCACCTGACTTGATGTTTTAGGCTTAGATCCAAAATAGCATGCTGAGCAGATTGCTGTTTCAAGTCCAACTGCTGCTTGAAGAGTTATCTAAAGCTAGCTCATTGGCAAACACTGAGGACAGGTACGTCATAAGAGTCTTAATTTTGTGCCTGATTAATCTCATTCCTTGCTCACTCACAGCTTGGAATCCTCTCTCAGATGTCACACCTGTACTGTGTTGCTTTATTTTACAGTTAATTTAGACTTGGTACAATTCATTTGGTGATGGGGAGAAAGAGGATGGTGCTAAAATGTGGCTCAGCTCACGTGTAGTGTGCTTACATGTTCTGTTACTAGTTTACTAGCTGGAGCACTGTCCCTGGAGCAGTGCTGTCTTTATCCAGAGAGAAACCCATGCTCTATTTTTCCACAGAGCTGCTAGAAATGGTTCAAGAATGTTCTTCATCAGTTTCTTGAATATTTAACTGCATATTAGCTCAATTTCAGTACAGGGACTGCAGCAATTTTGTGAGATGTTACCATCAGCCAGATGATGAAGACACAAGGCAGGAGGTTGTAGGCCTCTCCAGCACTTGTGCCCTGGACGCACGCTGCAGTTGTTAAGCTATTTTCATATGGTATCAAAACCATTGCATTTTAATTCCTTCTAACTCCTAAACAGAACTGTAGGCTTGTATTTTTTCTTCTTGCAACTTGTGTTAGTAAAGGCTACTTTTCCTTAAAATTTCCAGAAAACATTCTAGGATTTGGAGAGTTTCCTACTGAAATAGATGGAGAACTAGGTTCCAATTCAAAATGGGTTCAGACAAGAGCTGGGTGCTGCACTGCTCTACTCTGTTAAAGATGTGTAAGCATTTGATGAATTTGTGTATGTTTTCAGGCAAATAAGAGCTTCTCAACATTTTGCATCTTTGCATTGAAGCTCTACATAAAATACTTTTTGTCTGATACTTCATCTAATGAAATCACTACACAGGCATGCTCATAGTTATCTCTCTGCTTTCAGGGAATTGGTCATTTTTCTTATATGTGCAGTAGCTCTGGATTTGCAGTAGGGTAGTTTTACAGTCATTTTGGTCTTTTGTAAAACCAGAGGTTTTGAGGGAAGTATACCACTTTTAAACTTTTATGCACCTGTCCTCAGAACAGTGCTCTTGAGGAACTGTTAGCTCGTTGCACCGATTTTTAGAAGAAGCAAGCAAACAAAGCAATGAAAGAAAAAACAAGGCTAGAGTCAGCCATGTGGAGTATACGTAGAGTTGAATCTGTCTAAGGGCTGGTAGTAGTACAGGCTACTGCTGTCACCACTAGCAGGCATTCCCTGACATCTCATGAATACAACCTCAGATAATGACCTTGCTTAGCAGTTAACTAAACTGACATACACAGTACCTTTTCTCTCTGACAATTCTTTTTATATATATCTGCAGTAGTTTGCTAGAATAATGGATTTAGGGATGACAGGGGAAGCAATAACGCTATCTTTCCTGATCTTTAGTCTCTAAAGTGGTGGATCATAAGTAGGCTACCAGTAGTGCTTGTCAGTCACATGTGAAAGGCCTTGTTAGTGCTACCTGATGGAGATGAAATTAAGGGCTGACTTTTTTTTTTTTTTTGAAGCCTCTGTGTTGGATTAAGCCTGAAATAGCAGTTTGCTACAAATAAACTGCATGTCTTAAGACATTTTAAATTCATTTTCACTTTCTAAATACATCCTTCTCAAGAAAATGCCTTCTACTTACAAAGTAAGTCTTTATTCAGGTACTAGTGCAGAGATAGGCTCACAGGTTTAGGACATAGGACAAAGCCATAAAAATCTGTCACAGTTGCATCAAAACTTAAGCTTAAGTAGATACAAAACCTGCAATAACACTACAAAATACTTTCTATGGTGTAGAAACTGGCATCTGCTTTATTGCTGCTCTGTGCTTTGTAACAGAGCACCTCTTACAAGCTCAGTAACTAATTCTCTGCCCTATAATGTGCTTAGCTGTGTAATTGCACCTGTGTTTAACTCAACATTTTTAAAGTTAGTAGTGTTTGAGTCCCAGAGCACTCTGAGCTGCTTGTGAAGCTTTTTCTCTATCTTAATGAGACACTGGGAGGGTAACTGAGGTCAGCAGAAGTGCTTCTGCACCTGGACAGCTTTCTAGGAAAAGTGAGAGACTGATCACATTGAAGATTGTTTTTTTTCCCTGTCCTGCCAGAGCAGGGGTTTGGCAATCTACAAAGCACAGTGCAGGGTAGTGTTGCTCAGTCTGGCTTCTCTCTAAGCATTTCATGTGGTGTTTAGGGTGGAGCTGTTGACAGAAGAACATTGTCACTGTTTTGTAGTGAAAGTTTTTACAAGTTGCTATGGTGGAAGGTGATACGAGTGCCAGACTGTAGTTAATGTCAGCCTATTAATTTAGTACAATGTCTGCAGCTCTAGGCATTAATTTTTCCTGGAAGTCAGCAGGGTAGCTCGTTCATTAAGTTGCTGTTCTAATGCCCCTTTTTGCTGTAAGGTTTTTAGGCTACTTATAAATATGAGTAATTCAAAAGCTGGGTGCAGATCTGCCTCCCATTATTCAGAGTTCACAGCTGAGTTCTGAGTCCTGATTCCTACTGTCTAGGACTGCTCTAATCCATTTTCAAAATATTTTTATTTGTTAATGGCATTCTTCCCACTGTTTGAGTATAAAAGCTTGAAATGGCTGATATTTTATGTAGTGACTAGATTCCTTTAACAATTACAGCATGATGGTCAGAAAAAATATGACTTCTGGAAGGACATGGTGGCTGCTATCCAGCATAATTATAAAATATCAGCTTTTAAAGGTAAGTAGGTTCACCAACAACTTACAGTAATAGCCAGAAATGTTACATATACTTGCTGAAACAAATACATTTGCTACCATACTGTAGGTTACTCAACATAGCTTTTACTTTTTAGGCTTTTAAGTTGTTCTATTTACACATTAATCCTGCTATATTGGTATTCGTATTTTGTTCAGCTGGAGCTGCTTTGATATTTTTAGTAGAACTTTTGGTGTATTACCTCACTGACTTTAGAAGAAAAATATTTGATTCATACAATAATGTCAGCATTATTTCACTGTATTTTATTCTATTCTTGGTGTTCTTGTATTTATGAATAACATCAGATATGCGCTGAAAAGAAAGGAAACTAATATTTGGTACATTTTTTAATAGGCTTTCTTTAGCCCTTTAGTTTTCATTATGTATTGCATATGAATCATGCGTAGTTAGCTTCCTTTTTAAAAAATAAATTTTACAGTAAGTTATTATTTGGGAACATAATTTAAAGCCTGATCCTTGAAATCATGTAAATAATCAATTTTACGTATGTAGGAGTGTCTGCTTGTATGTACATGTATACACATAAGTATATACCTACACATTGTACATATTTGTATATGTAAGTGTGTAATCTGCATACAGATGTGTGATGTGACTTAATTCTTTTAAACTTCAATCAGAACAGACAATTTAATACACATAATTTTCTGTTATAAGAGTTATGAGGGATGTGCACAGCAGTGGTGAAATATGAGAAAGTATTAAGTGATAAGCATGTTTTTTCTGGGATGGGATGGAAATAGGTAGGGCTTTGTAAAATCAGCAGTAAGACAACACAGATTGTACACGGTACTTTAAAGCATGAAAGTGCTAGACTCGGTCATGCATCATTTTGAAAGGCCTTGCAGTGGTTTTGTTTTCCATTTAATAATGTGATCCAGTGGATGAACAGGAAGATGGAAGAATTGGATATTATTTCTTCCAGTTTGGCTTACCTGTGATATTTGCCTGAAGTATTCTCTTTTTACTTCAGGTCCCTTCTCTGTGAAATGGGAATAATGGTACTAATCTTCTGTGACAAGTTAATGCCAAAGACTTTTTCCCTCTGGTGCAAGCTTAATGTAACTTTCTGAGGAAACTTAAAGCTGGCTCCATCCCAGTTTCTACATGCCAGGAAGCCCCATGTTTTTTCTTAGCCCAGAGCCTGGACTAAAAAGCATAAACCATGTCTTGATTTAACTCTGTTCCTTCAGTGCCCTGTGAAGGGTTTAACCCTTTAGAGAAAAGCAGCACTCATTTGCAGTTAGTCAAAGTAAACTTTCTTTAGCAAGCTTATTAAATGGCTAGCTGGGGAGACATCAAGTTCCCAAGTTAAAATAGCATCTTGCTAGTGCCATTGTCAGTGATGGAGCAGAACGACTGACCGTTTTATTTATTTGAAATTCATGTTTGCATGTCACTTTGTTTCTGGTTTGTTGTCAGCACGCCCTTGTTTATCTTTGTCCCTTCTCTTTATCACATGATTTCTTTGATCATTAGTCAGGTGTCTGATGGATTTTGCTTTTCATTGTCTTAGCCATGGTGATTGCCTTAGATAATGGCCCAACTATGTTTTTTGTTTTTTTTTATGGCTATTTTAGATAGCCATGATTGTCATGACTCTCAGTTTATGAAGGATATCAACTCACTCTGCTACTTTTTCTTAAAGAAGTGAAGAACTGAAGCTTGCCGAAGAGGCCTAAGAAAGTTCCATGTCATTTTGTTTTATATGAATTTTGCTTTTCGAACTCCAAAAATTTCAAGCAGTCTATTGAGAAATACTATTAGGTAAAAACATGACGTCAGACAGCAAAGAACACAGGCATTTTTATTTTCAGACAGGTCATTTTTTTCAACCTAACAATACATGCAAGAATGCCCTCTGCATAAATTACTCCTTTTTACCAATCTTCATTATTGGAATATTTTTCATCTTTAACATGATTAGTATTACTTTTTTTTTCCACTTAGTTTATATTCTCATTATAGACATCAGTAAAGAACAATTCAAAGGAATTGTCATGCAGAAATTATAATTAATATTATGTAAATATGTAAAAACTTCAGATTTTGTGCTTTTGATAGAAAAGTTGATGGTTCCTGCAGGAGGAAGTTGCCTGTTACAAAAGCTACTTTTAAAATGTCTTCTCATAAAGACTGCTTTCTTTCTCTTGCACGATTGTCTTTCCCCATCATTTCCCAATTGTAACAGTAGCATCTGTGATTATGTAGGGAGAATAATACACTTATAGTGTTACAAACTGATTGAAAACATCACATTTCATTTTGGAATTAGAAGGATCATGCCTGACATAGCAGCTAGAAATTTATAAATTGCACATTTGAAAGCTTGGTGGGATAAGCTGTCAGCTCTCAGGGGTGCATGTGAAAAAATTGTCTTTGTTTAAAAGGTATACAGGAGATGAAGAAAGCGCTAGATGGAAAAACCTGTTGTTTAGTAACTTGCATTTTAAGTTTGGGTTTTTTTTGTAATTGAGCAATATTCTGACGTGGCATGCTTATTTACAAAAAGTGTATACTTTCTCTATACTTAAGGGAGAAAAGTTTTCTGGATCTTTATGAAATACTTTATTCTTTCCCCTAAACGTGTGCATGCAGACAAGTTTTTGATCACAACTCTGTGCTATAACTCTTTTGTCTAGGTAGAAGATAATTGAATTGTCAGTGATATCTGCATTATGTTCTTTATATGTGACTTCAGAAACAACAAAGAGGAAAGATGCTTTTCTGATTAAAAAAGAGGAATCTTCAAAAAAGACTGTAACACTAGGATTTCTAATGTTGATGTAGTCCAGTGAAGAAAGATGAGTATTTTTCTTAATTGTGAAAATGGTGGCAAAGATATAAGCTAGTAAATTATACATCTATTCTGAGATTTCCAGGTAAATTCATAAGTGATCATTTGGATACTTCACATCTGACTATTTAGGAACTAATGAGGCTTGTATCAATTTTTTTTTTTTTCCCCAAAGCCTTTGGAAAAGAATTCTCTACTATTACAGGCTCTTATATTTTAGTTTTAATCTCATGGGATTTTCTTCTAATACCACATCTGGAAAAAGATGTGATGTTTGGAGGAGCTTTGTCTTCACATCTTCATATGAAGAAAATATTAAAAAAAAAAAAAAGTGTGCTACAGAAACCCCCAGTTTTTCCTTTTGGCTGTTCTGCATGGCCATCATCTGCATTATGTGATTGTGTCCAACTCTTCCAAAGCCTGACATTCACTGGTGATAAAATTCTTTTCCAACATACTTCACTTCTCCTATACAGAAGTATAGTGTAATTAAACAGATTTAACTTATTTGAAGTACATATCTAGAAAATGTGAATTAGCTTTTGTTTTAATAAGAGTCTTAAACACTTTCTCAGAGTTTAGGGGAAGCTCTGAACAGTGAATTCACTAAACAGTGAATCCAGAGCTAAATCTTTAAATTCTGCTTTTATCACAGTGTGAAGAGTAATTGCTAGCTCTTTGGTGCTGAGTGGTTTTGTTAATGACTTAACATCTGGACAATTATGAAAAGCCTTCAAAAAGACAGGCCTGAGGTACAAAGTTACAGACTTGAACTGCTTTGTGCTCATTTGAAGAGCAGAGACGTTAAAACATAAAACCTGATTTAAAGTGGGCGGACAATGAAGATAAGCAAACCTAACTTTTAAGAATACTGTTGAGGCCTAGTTTCTTGTGCTATCAAATTGGAATCACAGGCTGAGCACCGAGGGTCTCCAACAATTTTAAACACTTTGACTGGGAACTGTCATGTTTTAAGCTCCACTTCATAATCTCTCTGTTTCTGAAATAAGAGTGTCAAATTGTTTGAGTGGTTTATATATATATATATATATATATATATATATATATATTTTTTTTTTTTTTTTTTAAAAGGTGTTTCTTAGGAGACTTGTAATTAATAGATGAAGACAGGCAATTCACTGAAATGTCTGGAGAGTTAGTTTAGTTTGAAAGAAAATTATTATGGGATTACTACTTATAAACTGTGGTACTCTCCACTGCATTATTTTCATGCAAACATAGATTATTTATAATGGTAGTACCTACTTACTTGCCTAAGCCTACTTGGCCCCCAAAATAAGATGATCTCGTATTACTCTCTCTTTTAGCACTTAAAAGTTTAGTCTAAGCCTTCTGCATCCTTATCCAGTAGCACCTAATAAAAGGAGCAAAGAAATTCTGCAGTTACTTTCTTAGAAGTTCTTTAAAGTTTCCAAAGTGTTTAGTTTTTCTAATGATGTATCAGCCTAAAGGTGCTCTCACTTTTTTATTAATCCTAAGGTATTTTCAGGTACTTAGGAAACTGTTTCAAATGCACAATATGTGATAAGCCTCGGGTTTCCCTTTCATGAAGAAATGATGGTATCACAAAAGAATTCAAACAGGCCTATTTACTGTCAGTGCAAATAATTAAAAACATCCATTAAAAAGTTTAAAATAACAGTTTGAATTGGTAATCTTTGGATATATATATATATATGTAAAACAGTTAAAGCATATAAATGATAACTTGTCATTGAAGAGATGTGTTTTGATAATTTATAAACACTAATGCTATTGAGCTTACATTATACCATTAACTTTTTACTGTGCCATAACAGACTAATATACTATGTAGTGTTTGAGAGACATGAGTGTATGCAGACACGCTAAGCAAATAGTGTGCCTCCAGACAAATTTACTGTGATTGAGATCCTTTTACTATGTAAGTAAAATATAATTCCAAGACTATTATTTTTATCTCTGAATGCTGTATTTCTGTAAAACGCAACTTACAAGCAAAGTTTGTCTCCAATTCAGGAGTTGTAAAGCTGTTTTGATTTTGTATCAGCATGCATTTTGGTTTTAGTGTACTCCAATTATCATCATATTAATTAGGAGCTTAAAAAAGGTGAACTAGTTTTTTTTACTGTAATTTACAAAATGTGTCAGACAGCTGTGA